ATGTTCCTAGTTTAGTACAGTCACTATACACTCTAGATGCAGTCACAGAGGTAACAGTAAAGTCTTTTACTGTATTGTAGAGTGTAGACAGATTTATATCCATTGCACAATATTAGTACAAGACATGGCCGTTCTTCGTGACTCCGCCTTTTCCCTCTTCAAGATACAGTATAATAATATACAGTAATACAGTACAGTACAGTAAATAAAAAATAGGCGTAAAAGGTAAATAAACAGTATCACATACAGCACACTGTAAAGTACTGTACATCTTCTTCATCGTGGAAAGTCTTCATACTGTACTGTATAAAAATGTACAGTACAGGAGTCCTGTTCATACAGTACAATGTACTGTATACTGGACTGTTCCGTACTGTATTGTACAATATTCTAACCATATTGTACTGTACAGTACAGTACAGTATACTGTAGTGTACCGTTAGACCTGACAGTACCGTACAGTATATTATTGCATATATAACTTTCCATGCGGTAAATCGAACTTTGACCCATGCATGACCTCCGGCCTGTCCTCTTGCTATTCAAAGTTAAACTTAAAAATTAACAAAGCGTCAGAGAGTTTTACTACCGTATTCAACGTTGTGCATTGCTATTAAACGTACCCTTAAATTCATATTCAATATGGCTTAAACTGAATTGCCATAACAAATGCTGATTAACGAATTCATTATTATTATGAAGTACAGTACTGTATATAATATAATATACTACTGTGTATATTAACATAAAAATATTATTATTATTTATTTATTTATTAATAACTTGGAGCGCTTTTAACGCTACAGTACAGTACAGTACTGTACAGTATACTGCATGATACTGTACTGTACTGTACAGTGTACAGTAAGCGTGCATAGTACAAAAAGCGGGAATTCTCTACAACCAAGAATCGCCCCGCAAATGTGATTGGCTGATTGATTTGATCTAGAAAATCGTGTGATTGGCGATAACAAATGTTTGAGACATTGCGGGCGACGCTAAAAAAATGAGATTTCATTGTTATTCATTGTAATAAACAATGATCGCTATGTTGCTTGCATTATGATGTGTAAAGTCGATGACAATGGAGCTATTTTTATCTCCTTGATAAATAACGTACAGTACAGTACTGTAAGCTTCTACATCAGATCGAATTGGAATTTTTTGGCCAATAACAATCTCCCGTCTGCACAGAATTTTGTTCCGTACGCTTACCAGTGAATGGTAAGGGTTGATTTGTAAATAGTTGATTGCTGATCGAACCGTTTTGTGCGTGATAGTTATCGTTGTTGATCGTTGCATTGTAACGATTGAAAATGTAGTATCTTAGTGCATATTGACATTAACTTCATACTGTAAATTAGGGCAAATTTGTTACTACGCTGGAAAAAAGTGTACAAGTACGCTGCTTTCTTTTTAGTAGCATACATACGGTCAAGTCGGATAGATAACACATGTGCAAGGTCGGTGAAGTCAGCCACGTGCACCTGAAAGGGTTCACTCCTTTCCTTTCTTTGCTTTTCTTTTCTTTCATGCTACAGTATGTACAGTACATTATGTACGCTATGTACATCACTGTACACACAGTGCTATACTATTGTACGCTACTGTGTAAGTACAAGCGACCAGGTCAGATCCGTGTGATTCTGTGCTGTATTTTACTATGGAATGTGGTGAACAGATGCAGTCATATGTTTTTATCCTACCGTACTGTTGTTCTGTATGGAGATTTTGCACTGAATGTTCGTCCAAAAGTCCGTGGCAAAGATCTGATGACAATGTGATATTGAATAACAGTCAATGAGGATAAAATATCCAAATTGGATGACTGTCACCATTTCTACCAAGGAATCCTCCTTTGTCTATCACTTTTTGGTGGGGCTGGAAATGCAGAATACAGTATATCATTTTTGGGAACATAATCCATGACATACTGCGCCATTGAAGAAGATTGACAGGCCCAGCCCGATTCTGTAAAACTAGAAATTCAATTGTACTGTACCGCCAGTATATGGTATTGTATTGTAATCAGTAGTTCAAATCCAATAATAATAGCTCGATTTTCTATTTGCTATGGCAAAGTTCATTCATACTTTATACAATTGAATGGATATGTTTGAAATTTCCATCAGCATTGGCGATGAGCTACTGTACAAGTGTACATGACAGAATTCAAGATTGTACAAGAAAATCAATCCATCCAATAAAGTGTAAAAGTCTGTTGTAGTGTTGCTTACCCCATATACATTCCAGTAGTGTATAGGACGTCCACTACTGGAATACTGTACTCAATCATGTTGAGTTCAACGATAGATTGACTGCAACATTGTTATTGTTAAACGGTACTGTCGTATTGCCCTACCGAGTACAGTACTATTGAATGAATCATTTGATTGATGGTGAATGTGATGGCGTAACGCTGCGAAGAGTCAGGCGATAAACAAAAGGAAAGGACTGGCCAGGTTGACTGATTGACAGCAAGCTGGTTGACTACAGTACTATTTACTGTACAGGAGAGGAGAATACTGTAGTTCACTACGCTCCACTACCATACCGTACTGTACCATACCGTACTGCGCTGAAGTTGGTACACATCACGTTAGTCATTAACACGCCTTTTTACTGTTGCTGTTTTTAGAAAAGCGAAAACAACAACATTAGAGTAAGGCAGATTGTCAACGTTTCCAAGCTGTGCGTATATGGTTGGATGGTAGCTTACTGTTGTACTACCGCGTATTGATAAAGTGAAAAACAACTCTTTTCGTCTTCTCTTGACTTATTCTACAGTAATAACAACAAGCTTTCTTGCATAGTCAACAACTTGTGCCTAACTGGAGTTGAGTGGTTATTTTCTTTTGGTGGTCTTATTTTTTATTTTACAGCAAATCAATCGCTATCGTGCTGTATTTAGGTATTCAGTAATCAAGGAAAAGCATATTTGCCCTATTTACGTTCGACGTGGCCATTGAAATAGCAAAATCACAAAAGTGTACCGTCGTTATAACTTGTCTTCTACCTTGATTGTCACACAAATCATAATCGTCCATAATCTTTCCCACCATCAGAAATGAGCAGTACCGCGGTACAAAACCTTTTGGTTTATATATTTAGTTTTATTGCACAGCTATTCGATCTTTTCACTTATATCCCTTATCATTTGATTGTTGTCGAAAAGAACACTACAGGTCAAAAAATCTTCGCCAAGCCAAGTTGCCCTGAACAGAACGGCATCTCACCTTACCGTGATGTTAACATTGAACAACTTCAAGGAGTACCGGAAGCTGGCGTCGGCACACTGACTAAACTTTTCCAACGATCAGTTGCAAAATATCCTAATAATCGTTGCCTTGGTACACGTGAATTATTGCGTGAAGAAGAGGAGCAACAATCGACAGGTAAAATTTTCAAGAAGTTAATCTTAGGAAAGTACAAGTGGTTAACTTATCGAGAAGTAGACACAAAAATACAAGCCATCAGCCGTGGCTTGACTACCTTTGGTATACAACCCAAGGATAAGATTGCTATTTGTGCCGAGACTCGGGCAGAATGGTTGATGAGTGCCCATGCCGCTCTGGCCAATTCCGTCATTGGTAAGTGAAGTTCAAACCAAATTACACTATAAATTGTCTGACAGTGATATTGCCGCATGGATACGCTTACTTACTCCATCATTGATCAATGCAAGTCAATGAATGATATGTCACTGTAAACTAGTAAGTGATATGATAGAGTGCTAGGATGCAAAAAGAGAATGAATCACTTCAATTTTCAACTCGTAATTGAACGTTGATGGAATAATTTGCCAGTACATTACTGTCGTTCTATCCTATCGAGATCCTAACGCGCGTTTTACTACTACCAAGTAGCCAGCGCGATCCACATTAGCAGATTGATTTTATAGTACACCTGGCGACGCAATCCACAGTAGCTCACCATATAGCGACCACTACAACGTTGTCGCCATACAGTACCGTACTGACGAGGACTGCATTGTGGCTACAGTACTGTACTGTGTACTGGAAAAAAAGGCAAAGCCAACCGTGGTCACAAGCGACGGTTACATCGCGCGATACAAAGCACGAGATGACCCGGCGGTAATTGCTTATGCTGGAAATGAAATTCTTTAAACTTGCCTCGAGTTATTTGACAAACTCTTCAAGTAAATAACGGATTGAAAACTAGTGTAATATAAAAAATGGAATAAGAATAACAAACACTATTTTTCGAATACTGTACCGCATCCTAACTTTGTTGATGTTGAGGAGAAGGGAAGCGTAGTAGACTAGGTTAGTGTCGGCATAAAAACACTTTTCTTTAAAATTGAAAACTCCTATTCATCATACAGATACAATATGTACGTAGCGTAAGCAGGATTAGATGAAAGTAATATACAGACGATATTCAAACTGTCATTGTATATTGCAATGATCAATTTGGGTGTCCTATTTTGCCAATGGATTCCTCTCAACGATGACTGCCGTAAAAAGTTTCCTGGGTTTTTTTTATATTGACATGTTTTCACTAATTAGAAGAAAGCCATCGCAACACAATACACTGTCGATGCCAGACTGTCATGGCTTTGTATAGCAAGGATAATCGGAGGTTCTTTTGTTCACCGGAGACGTTTGGATGTTTAGTCCTGTATACGATTTACTGGACGATATCAATGGTTTACTTTACTCATTATGATGTCGAATGTTTCTACTCCTATGGATCATTCCAACCCATACTTGTAGACTCTAGTGATGAGTTGGCGATGCCTGTGATTTATGCCTTGCAAACTGATCAATTGGAGAGACTTTCAGACAAATCCATAATGCAAGGGTCGACATCAGCTGTAGTCTTACAACACCTTTTCATCAAATAAAATGAGTACTGCATTCATCATGGATAGTAGAATTCAAAAGGAGGATTTAGATTATTTTTTCCTACGTCAATTGAATTCTTTAAAAACTGTAGAGACTGATTCCGTGAAGTGTTAGCCAGTCTAATGTGAATCGTTCATAAACCAAGTCATCTCGGATAAATCGAATGCTTACTAAGCAGAGTATTGTAATGTACATCACCTGCTACACGACGGTACACTCGGACACTAAATCACCATAAAGGGGGTGTAAACAAGGTGCGGTAGTCATGTTGCGTGGTTGGCATTCAAAATTTTGTAAGACAAGAATTACGGTAGTGAAAGGTCTAAAATAGACATCTGCGTTGTTGACTATGTTGGAACATTCCGATTAGTGGACACAATGAAATGGAATGCCTTCTTCCGCTAGCCCTTATTGCTGATGGGCTAGGAGAAATAATAATACTCTTGAGAAATACTACTGTACTATCGTATTCAATATCAACCTATCCAATTGCTGACTGTTAAGTGATCCAATTTAGTTCAACACAAATTGTACCATATACCTACTGAACGTTCATTCAAGCTGTTCAATTGTGCTATTTGTAAACACTTGAGCCTGGTGAAATTAATCAGTGACGATCAAGATTGCTTTGTAATATCTACTATTCACTTCTGATGCTGTACATCTGTCAACTATATTAGCAATGTCAACAATCAGACACGTATTCGTCCAAGTATTGACTGTGCTGCTGTGAGCGGATGATGCGATGACAGCAATCACCTTTTTATTTTTTATCAAAGTTTCACGCTTTACAGCGTATGTATAGCTGTAATATTTATATTTCACAGATTAAATTGAAGTGACCCCTTTAGTGGTGGAATTTTGCCAGTAATCTCTTACTTAGCTTTCTCAATTTGAACTGACGCATGAATTATGCTGGGAAAGAAAGATACAGCAGTGATGAGCTCCTTCATAGATACTCTTTATGTCGTCTGCTTCCCCACTATACAAGCGATTCATTGACGTAGACTGCGCATATGTTCATGCACTCTGCAGTGTTTTTTAGGAGCAAAATTAGATTGGATCTGTGATCTCCATCGGTGTTGCTAAAAATTGGAGATACTGCTCGAATTTCACTACCACTGCGTCTTACTGATGCTATAGTATCGTTACCCTTTTTATGTCATTCTGTACAACTACAATGATCAGCCAATAAATATTTAACATTTCCAGAATCCCATTGAAGCAAGATGTTCAGCGTGGTAATCATACTCGCGGGTTAATAATAAACTAGCCGATGCGTATTCTTCGGTAAAAAGGCCGACTGATCAATTGAAAATTATCCGGGATTATTCTACCCTATCCATCAGTGCTATTTTCCGATCTAATTAGTAATTACAATTCAATAAAACACCAATTTTGTATACTGTAGGGTGCATCGAATGTTGAAATTCTGCCAATAACTCTTAAATTGGGGATGGCGTAATAGTTTACCTAATAAATGCATCTATTATTATTATTATTTATAGCATGGATTGCCTGTTGGGGGTGTCATACGATCATTTATAATTTGAAAAGTAATTTGTAACCGTAGCTTTCTCGATGAATTTTAATGAATGGTGTTGTGATAACTGATAACGTCCTCAGATACGAATTCTTGTATCTTTTAGTGTTTAATACCAGAAAGGTCTAATCAGAAAGTTAAATGAAATTAAATTAATTAGCCAACACCTCAATTCTATTGATACAAAAAAAGTCGTTTCTTGGTACTGTACATTTAATTAAGGATTCTAATGCACACTTGGCCCCCACGTAATGAACGATCTTGACTGTACAGTACTGCACGTGCTGGAATCAAAATTTTTCAAAAATTACAGTCGATACATCGTTGTAGAATTTGAGTTGTGCAAATATCATTAAGACTTTCTCGCGTAAACTGGAGCGTTTTATCTCCGTACGCATTCTATTTATTTATACAGTACATATGTATATAGCGTAACATAATAACGCGTTGTTACTCAATACTAGACGCTATTTTCCATTTTTTTGCATGGAAGTTTCATCTATTGGTCCAAGGCCATTTACATTCTTCATTATGCTGAAGATGCAGTCAATTAACGTATTTGATATGTACATACACGTGTAATGTTATTCGTGGAAAACTATAATACTACGATGGGTGCTAAAATGCCACGTTGCATTAATAATAAATTTCCACGTTGAAGTTTTATAATTCCATGCTTTTATTAGCACTACGGTAAAATATCAATGCCTCTAGAGAGAGACAGACCTCTCTATCTACCGTACAGTGCTTGCTGTACAGCACTGTATATGCATACAGTATTTATAACAACTTACGGTAGATAGTGATTTTTGGGCGTCAAGATCAGATATGATCCATGGACATGATATACGAGTACATGATGAATATCAGTGGAAGTTACATCGATAACGTATTGAGGGTTAAGTTGTAAAAGTGCAATATTACTACTGTTCATGACGAATGGTCGCAAATTTTTGCTTAGTCACCATCACGTTAATTCGGAAAACGATCAATGACGGTTAGATATGCATGACCGATGATAAGCTATGAGAACATAACGTACAGTACATCATGGTAAATAATTTATGTACGTGCAGCCTGGCTTTCCAACTTAATTGCATTTCCTACAAATCTATACTGTATGTACTTTAGTAGTGTTACTGTTGTAACGCATACTATAGTTAAAATTCTGACCTCGAAGACTGAACATGCTTCCGTCTATAGTATACGCCAATAGCGATAGGGACAGTATATTGCAATGCTTGACTAAAAAGCGGTTAAGTTTGATATTACTTTATTATCCGCAATTTATAGCACTCTGCCTCCTTAAGCCAGTTACTTCCTTAAAATGATTGCTTTGTTTACAATAGATACACAATGCTGTTTTAGATTATAGTTGCTTCAAAGTACGAGATTTAGAAGCTCGCATAGAAGACTGCCATGTTAATAGTACAATGTCTACTTTTTATCAATAACGATAATGCTAACAGAGTTTTAGATCCTTCTGCTTTGCATCTGTTTTTATCAATCCAAATGGCAACACGTATTGTTTAAATTACTGAATTTTGATAGCCACTTACATGATTTTATTTTTAACCAATTTTATACGCAGTTTGCCTACTCATTGCCCTTTACAATAAGATATTTATTGCTTCTATTGATTTTTTGTATTGCTTTTTTCTTTTTTTGCTTAGTTGTTACAGTCTACGCAACACTTGGCGAAGACGCTCTTATCCATGCCATAAACGAAACAGAAGTTTCCCTCGTCATTGTCGACGAGAACATGCTCCAGAAATTTACTTCTTTAAGTTCAAAAATGCCTACGCTAAAGACTCTCATATACTTTGGAAAAAGTAAGGATATCTCATTCCTAGATTCTGCTAGAAAAGACATACAGATTAAATCACTACAGGAGACCGAAGAGATCGGCTTGAAATCTGAAGGTGGTACGAATTATTTCACAATATATTTTAAAAACATTGATTCTATACTTATAGAATACCATACATATAGTAAATTTTCTTACAACTGTAAGATGGGTATGCTGTTCAAGAATAGAATATAACAGCAACAAAATGCACGCGTTTTCTGTTTAGCAATAGTATGCAAATAGGACCAGATGAAAAAATTGTAGATGGTACTGTACACTAAGACATTCTTTGTTTTTTTGATTTTATAGAATCGATTGAGTTGCATAATCCAAGTGCTGATGATATCTCTGTTATCATGTACACCAGCGGGTCGACTGGGATGCCGAAAGGTAATATTATTATAGATTGGCTTAATTGCATTTGAAGAGTTCACTTTAATCTGGAATGTCCGTCACTAGAATTATCACCGGAGTTATTTCTGCCACACCTGATTGGTTTGGCAGTTACCATAACTATAAAAAATATCATCAAGATATTTTACATGCTTTAATCTAAATACATGTTGCATCTATTAAAATGATTTAAAAATTTAGGCGTAGTTATTTCGCACAGCAATCTTGTGGGTGCTACTGTCGGTATGTCAACCCGGTATAATTTTGTTCGGTAGGTATTACGTCTTGAACTCAAGCATGACTTTGAAAGCTAATATTGTTTTTTCAATCTTTATGACTGGCTACGTTAGTGCGTTGAGCATACTATTAACGTGAAATCTATTTTTTTCTGTATAGACCACACGACTCGTACATAGGCTATTTACCTTTAGCCCATGTATTGGAATTGGCTGCAGGTAAATATTGCATGACATTCTTGCGTCGGATTATTGCATAATACTTTCCCTTTCTTTCCTCAAAAGAAAATACGGTACTATCAGTTGGTGCAGCCATTGGGTATTCTTCTCCCAATACACTTTCTGATCAGGTAATGATAGAACCAAAACACAATTGTAAAAAAAATGATTCTTAAAAACTTGCACTTTCCCATTAAAGTCAACAGGCATTAAGAAAGGTTGCAAAGGTGACTTAAGCGAGTTACAACCGACCGTAATGGCGGCAGTTCCGGTAATACGAAACTTTGACATGTATGAATTTCTCGTTCTTATACATAAAACAAAAATCTTATTATACGTCCCAATATATAATTATCAATTAGACTATCATGGATAGAATACGTAAAGCAGTTTATACCAAAGTGAATGGCGGAAATGCCTTCACAAAGGCTCTGTTTAATTTTGCATACAACTACAAGATGAAGCAGGTATGACTTCGATTTTGCCCTTAGTAGCCTAATAAAATAGCAATATTTGACTTGATTTTAATTATATTAGTAATACGTTATGTTGTAATAATATATTGTACTTAATATCATTACAGCTTAGCAGAGGAGGTGGAACACCACTGTTAGATCGGTTGGTATTAATTAATTATAATGACGTCTAAGATATGCAAATACATTGTGCTGTACAATGTGAAATACTAGTAATGAATGCCTGCCATTAAAGGTATGGTTTTTTTACATAATAATTACAGTCTAGTCTTCTCGAAAACACGAAAGTTATTGGGTGGAAAAATTAAAGTTGTACTTAGTGGAGGAGCTCCGCTTTCAACTGAAACACAGAAATTTATGAATATATGTTTGTGCTGTCCTGTCGGACAAGGCTATGGTTTAACGGAAACTTGCGGCGCTGGCACTATGTGCGATGGTAAATAAAATTCATTCCATTGTAAACTACTGCCTTAAAGTTTCAAGAGTGAACCCATTAAATTAATGTATGTTTTATTCCATCGTAATATCATTAGTTACTGATTTGAGTTCCGGAAGAGTTGGTGCTCCACTCGTTTGCAACGAAATTAAATTAATTGACTGGCCCGAAGGTTCGTTATCACTCTGATGAATTATAGGTGTTTGGCTAGATTTGTAAAACTACTTTTTAATTTTACAGGTGGTTATACCACACACGATAAGCCATATCCGAGAGGAGAAATTTGTATCAGTGGCCACAATGTAACTGTTGGTTACTACAAGAATGAGGAAAAGACTCGAGAAAGCTACGTCGAAATGGACGGAAAGAGATGGTTTATGACTGGAGATATTGGAGAATGGCATTCTGATGGTTGCCTTAAAGTCATAGGTATGGCTTGTATAATCTTAATTGTATCAGCATTTTTTAATAGGGTATGATACATGTGTATATATAATCTTACGATATCTACTATCAAATACCTCTTATTCGTATGTTAGATCGCAGAAAAGATTTAGTCAAATTGCAAGCTGGTGAATATGTTTCTCTTGGAAAAGTTGAAGCCATTCTCAAAGGCAGCAATTTTATTGACAATATCTGCGTTTATGCGGAAAGTGATAAAGACTATATAATTGGCTTTGTTGTCCCCACCGAAGCAACGTTGCGTAATGCTGCTGGAAGTTTGAATATCGATACGAAAGATTGGGAAGAATTGTGTAAAAGTGAAAAACTACAGCAAAAGGTCATTGATGATCTCCATCGTGTTGCCAAGATTGGTAAGCTATGAGTTCTGAAGTGATCGTAGCCTAATTTGTGTACAGTACTTGACCAACTAGTTTACATTATTTAACGTGTACGATTTAATAATTTTTAATCAATTTAGGTAAGTTACAAAAATTTGAAGTACCTCGAAAAATTAAGCTTTGCTCGGATTTATGGACACCAGAAAGCGAACTTGTAACTGCTGCATTGAAACTAAGACGTCATAGCATTAAGCAATTCTATATAAATGATATCAAGCAAATGTATACCTAGAAAGAAAGCAATTTATGTGCATGCCGTTCGATGCATTAATAAGCTATAGACGACACAGTAGCACTTCCTTACTGTGTAGAAGCAGCAAATGACAATGTCATTGATATGTTTGTTACTTTATGATATGATAAGGACGTACTCAATTACGTTTAGAAATTTCTGGCTGACCAACGAAAGAAATGCGTCAATAATGTATACGTTATTCATTCTAATATATTTATTAATTATGTTTGGGATACAAGCTTTGTTAATTATTTAATTACTAAAAATCTGTTATCCATATTGTGTAATTTCCTATTGGTATATGTAACATGTCGCTTTGTCATGGAAGATCGAATTACCTGATGTTTGAGAATTGCTTGTAGTATTGATTGATTATGTTAGGTTTCGTGGCTCATGATTTTCTGGACCGGTGTACTATTGCATAGTAGATCGCTTATTTCTGTGCTTTTGATACTAATTGTACCATACGTACCTTGCTGTTACTAGATCCTGCTAAAGCTAAATTAATAAGCTAAGAATCATTTTGCCGTTTCTGTTTGAAACATTAGTAATTAAAACTGAATGCTAGCTTTTTCCTTCACGGTATATAATTTTAACGGAATTTTACGTAGTCTGTAACTCTTTGTCAATGTAATATGCATAGTTAAATGTTGACAGGATCGAATTCTAAGTTATCTAAACAAATAAAATTATTTAATGAATATTCTCTTTCGATCATTAAGAATAGCTACGTGAAATGAACTTGCAGTTGTTTTTCAAAACGTGCTGGGCCAGGGACAACTAAACCCTCTTGTCCCACTTAATTTTACAGGGAAATTGGAATGCTAGCGATGCAATGTAGTAGTCAGTATTGAGTGAATTTGCATCGTTTTAGGAGGTGGAGGGTTTGGTAGCCCTGACTAGACTTGCTACTTAGTAGTTTACGTTGCTGAAGCACGTGCTTCTTTCCATTTACTACTGTCTACAGCAAAGGGATGAAACATTTTGCAAAAGATAAAACAATTTATTTATGTAAATCATTACACTAACACCTATAGTCTTGAAGTACTGAAGATAAACAAAACATATACATTATGAAATAGAGGATTATTACTAATAATTCTAATTTATAATTAAGCTAACCAGAATAATCTTATACGTTGTGGCGAATTAATCAATATACAGTAATATAATGATTAATATTAGAAGACTACGCATTTATAAACAAAAGTTCGTTATCTACTGTACTGTATATGTGTATTTTACATATATTATATACTATATAAAACAACAATTGGCAGGATGCTTTACTATAAAGCGTACGAAATAAATTTGCTATTAATCGCTGAAATTATCTGCAGAATTGTTGCCGTCGACGCTTCCAAAGTCATCTTCGTCTCGTACACCACCATCAGGGGCTGGATCATCCGGTGAAAAACTGAATGAATTTATAAAAAAAAATAGGGAATTTATATAAGAAACTACTCAGCAGCGACTGTAATACGTTAAAGTACAATATGCTTTTTATAACTGTATACTGCATAGGTTCGTAAAAGTAATTTGTCAATATAAAAGTACTTCAGCAAAAATAAGTATAATTTGTCATACTCTAGCATTGCAGGATCCAATCCTTCTACCGTCATTTTTAATTTGATTGCTTGATTTGGTATGCCAACACGTAACATACTGAAAAACTTTTTATACCGGGCATCATCTTTAAGTGCGATAAAGTCCCCTGCTTATATAATATAATAAATAATACAAATTTATACTCACACCAGTTCCAAAATAACTAATTATTAAAATTAAAGTAACTTCGTGATAGGTCAGCTTTTGCTTATGAAAGCATCAGTATTATTGATGCATCTAAGTAATTGAACGTTATTGCATTAAAATGTAATTTCCAACTGGTATAATATACGTATTGTAAATTAAGATAGACCACCACTAACTAGGTACTCTTTCGGCAGGTGGAATTTTCGCGACTATAATGCATAGGGCAAGGAAAGGGTTAATTAGCAAAATTAATAATGGAATTGATATGGCAAAGATAGCCGTACATGATTATTTATTGTAGTACTAACGGCTATAAGATATACCATTATGCTATTTCCTACCTTCAGATTGTTGAATGTTATCTTGTTGTAGGCCTTCGGTAGCCTTAACAATAATGTATCGTACATCATTAATGAATGCGCATACGTATTGATCAAATATCACATGTTGCTAATACTAGCGCAGCACATCAAACTTGACTAATGTACAATTGATATTACTTTTAAGCTGTAACACGAATTACTACAAAGATATTACCGTAGATTGCTGTTGCTGTATCGTAGATTGCTGTTGCTGTACCGTAGATTGCTGTTGCTGTACCGTCGGTTGATCCTGAGAATCTGCAGTCACATTTTCTAAGCCTGGCACGGACGATAACTGATCATATAGATAACAGCACACCATTATTAACATTGGAGAAAGCTTTTAATTCAATAATATTGTAAAGTTATTTTATTGTCAGTCACGCAACAATCTGGTATTTTCAGTAGATATTACTTGCACAGTTTACTACAGTAATTAAAAGTTCACATCTTTTCAATTGATGATTAAGTTAGAATGTTGCTAATACGGGTTAAGTGCCCATTTATGGTATATTCTACATCGATCATATCGAAACGTGTAACAATGAACAGATAATTTTCTATTTGTGGTAAAGCTGAATCAAAAATGGGGAAACTTGTGGCCCCACATGTACTGCAAATATAGCATATCAACATCAGCTGTACTGATTAAACATTGCAGTACAATTGAGAATCAACCTCGCGATAACCGTATCTGAGGATTACATACTGTAACGGAATATGTCTATATTGACTACATGACAATAGTGTAGTAAAGCCTTACATAGTTATTGAGCTAATCAATATTTATCAGTCACTTACTTTTGCTTCTAAAACTGCCATGGCTACTTCGAGCTTTTGCAATCGCGTGGTAACTTCCTCTAACCTCTGTTAATTATGGAGATGATTTTACTGACTTGAAATTATTACGATTACGAATGGAATATATATGCTTTGCACGTAATATTAGAAATAGGACTACATACCTCTTCATTCACAGAAGAAAAGCGATTCACAAAATTGACCGTATAAGTAATGTAATAATTGATATAAGCCAGTAATTTTTTACTATTGATGGGTTTGATCTGCAACAGAAATGGTGAGAAAAGTAGAATAAGTTGATCAGTACTGATGTATCTATACGGCTAATTGAATTCATTTGATATGACGATTTATACAGTCAATTAGGCATTAATGACAGTCATTTGAAGGTAGATAAAAGTTAGTTATCCTATCAAACACATTTATAAAGCATTATTTCTCGCTTCAATTAGTAATTATTGAAATTTATCGCCAAGGGGAATTCTTCTCTTTCATCGTCTGTTCATCATCCTCGCCTCCTCTTGACGACAACAAGCTCAAGTTTCAATTTAAACTCCACCATCGATCGATGTAGTTTCCTCAAACTTCATACAGATCAATATCTAGCGGTAATAAGCTGTATGCAAAGTCTTGACCATCACCATCATATCATCAAGGAACTTTCATTTCCTTCATTTTCAATGCAATATACCATGCCGTTAAAAAGTGAAAACTTACTTTCTGTAAATCTGTATCGGAAGCCAAGGCAGGAATTCCATCGATCTCCATGATTTGAAACTAATTTAAATGCTACCCAATCCAGATTTCAAATATTTAATGTCCACTTGTGCGGCGATGCCCAGAATTCGTTTGGCCGATGGAGGAGTTTTGACCAATGACATCACGTGATAGGCATGATCTGCCACTTAATAGTCTTGTAGTTTCTATGAACATTCAAAACCTTTTACTGATACAGTATAGGGAAAATAATGGTGAATCGGTAGCTTTACTACCGCTATAGCAGGCTAGTTTGTGACATCATTTGTTGCAATATACCTGGAGTGAATTTAGTGATGGTACCGATTCACTAGCTCATAACTTATACATTCTCATGTAAAATTATGGCTGTCATGACCGAACACTGTTCTATGCTACAGTGTACAGTACAGTACTGTACAGTACTGTACACTGTGTGTATTGTACTGTACTGTAGCCTAGGACCGTAGAGATGAGGCCAAAATATGGAAGCTACTTGCTCATTAGTACGAATCTTCCGAGTTGATTTTCTTAATTAAGCATTCTACTTATTGAAAATCATGGATGATGTTATAGGACTACTTTCAAGCAGAACTCGGTAAAATAGAATAGAATTCAAGTATAATATTACTCCATTGAATGACATGATAATAACAAATAGAAGAGTCCAGTGCGAAGAACAGTCTTGGCCATCCAGTGGTCCGTAACCAGTACCAGTGTAGTGAGTGTACTGTACTGTATCATAGTCTGTATGGACTACTTGAAGCAGGCATGGACCAATCTCTCTTGGACGGACAGACCTTTAGGAGATCAAAATATCATAATATAACAGTACAGTATAGGAAATCCTCGATATGACAGTACTTTAGTATGCAGACGGTCGATTTTAAATGGACTGAGATTTTTTCTAAATTCAATAAAATATCACGTTGAATCTTATTATCTGCTAGTAAGTTCCACTTGGACACAGTTATACAAGATGGTCGGTGTTACTGAAATTGGTACCCGTGATTTAGAAAATAGACACGGAAGATCCACACTTGGTCACTCTTTTTCGTTATTGGCCGTGAACAGGTAGAGCCTTTCGTGGCTACGAAAAGTCCGTCTGTCTGGAACTGCAAGTCCATAATAGATTGTACACTGTACGGTGGTAGAGCTACCGTACAGTTAAATTGACCATCAAATGAGTTAGTCTGCTCTTTTGACTCCACTGACTTGGGACTGATCGCCTATTTTCCGTCCCTCTCTCTTTCTGTTTCCAGCCCGGACTGACAGACAGCCACAGGATCAAAATTCCACCCAAGTTTGATTACTCGATTTCAACACCTTGCCAACACAACGCATCCCAGACTTGACCAGTTGCTATTCGCCATGATGGACAAATGCTATCGTCTTCCATCATCATTCTCTACGAGTACGGGAAGTTTGCTATCATCGAGTGATTGAATTATTAACGATTGATTATCGTTGGAGATGGGTCAACAGATATCAAGCGATAGCCCCAGTAGGCAAGGCAAAGGAACGAGTTATCAAGATTCGTATGCCCAAGCCAATACCATGATCACCGTCAATGACGGCTCTCCAGCAAGAATGTTAGTCAAGAAGCATATTCAAGAAGATGAAGACTTTAAAGCCTTACAAAAACTACCTAAATTTTCCCCTTTAATGAGAGGCTCTCTCAATTTACCGGTTATGCGAGATTCTGGATTCCTTAGCAAGATGGAAAGCAAGCATGTTATCAGTTATGTTAATCGCTATGAGGAACATTTAAGATTATGTAGCCAAATGATAACCAATGATCAAGTTATGCTAGCTAGTCGAATGAAAGAAATTGATTATTTAATGGATTTAGTGCACAATAAAGTGGCTGAAAGGCAACAAAAGTTAAATCATTTCGCAGTTTGTGCTAGGACGATCCAAACCATCGAAAGCGATATTCAAAGGATCCAAAAAAATTTAGAAGATTCCACCGCTTTAGCCGAGCAATTTAATGACCTACTACCTGAAGGACATAAATTGGAACCTTTATCACGCTAACTTGATAGAATTGCTATACGATGCATACAGTACATTACAAAGCGGTCAATATCCCCCTAGCAATGAATTGCATCCGGATAGGACACCTTGCTGGTAGCGTAAACCATCTTAAACGAAAAGCCAAACTACTGAGCAACTGTTTATGTCGACGAGGAAGCATCAATGATCACAACTTGTTTAAAATCGGACTCGAAGTCGCTTACAATAGCATCATCGTTGGTGCATAGATACAGTGCTAAAGGGCTGTCAGTAGCGCTTGAAAAACCACCGTACTGTACAATTATTAACTACCTATTCAAAATTCCAAACATGTCAGAAATGGAATTCAATGGGTTCAATCAAGATATTACAATCCTTTTTAAACCATCAATGCAATGCAAAGCAATCGTGCATGGCAATAAAGTTCACGCAACAAGCACCTATTCCAGATGGAATAGAATACATGTAGTCAGAATAGTTTTATACGACTCATTGTTGAAGAACGACTTAGAAAAGAAATAGTGGAAATATTGCAATATCGTCATTCTAATGCCAATAGGATTGTTGATGCAACCTCAACGACAGCAACTATCATTGATTTGATCATGGCAATGATAATTGAATGCAAAAGCTCTTACTCTGTAGAAGTTAATAGCCATTGACTGTCATGATATCATATATCATTCATTATCTCTACATGTAGAAATGAAATTGGATTGTTTTCCAACTGCCATGGTAGTCTTTATTGTATATAATGTATAATATACCTTGTATTTTCTTACACTGTAAATACTCAATCAGTAAGCACTCTACACAATTAGAATATTACTCTACTGCAGAAGAACGACTGCTTTGAACATTGTTTATAATACACCTACTAGTTACTTTTGCAGCTTCTCTATTATATAGTATACAAATAGTAACAGTAAGAAAATACGGTATTCTTCAGATTTTCAGATAGAGCTTTATAGAACATATGAAACGCGAACATTAAATTTACTGTTATAGTAATGTACTCTAAACAAAGTCATCGCGATACTATCCCACAGTGTTGGACTGGTCGTAATAAAATTATTTTCAATCCAATCTTACCCCGGCCTTTATTTTATATATTGTTTACAGGTCTGAAATACTAACTTGTTTTCGTTCTAATCAATCCTACATGGATACTTTTCAGGTGGCCGTATCTTCAGATTAAATCTACTTGCTCTAAGATTGAAATGAAAGTAATGTCTTTGGTCAATAAATAGTTAAAGCATGCTTCTATCTATCCAATATTGGTTACTAATTTAGATTGTAAATTAATCATATAAAGTATCTAGCTAATTACGTAGCCACAATCATTGCCATACGTACGGCAGAGTTGGCGCTTACAACAGACATTGCTGCTAGAAATGACCCAGATACCAAAATCGCATCTATAGTCTTCAAGCTTTAAAATAACCGAAAAATGAGTTGGTAGTAAACTAGTACATATGTAATGAGCTACGTTCTCACTTTATCTCTGCTTTTCAATAATAACTGGAACTAGCATCTACCCTTAAATCTCCGTTACTTTGCTATATTACAATGCATAAAATAGATTTGAGTCCTTTCGAATATCCATGAACCTCGCTATAAAACTGTACTTCTATATTTAATATCAATCTTTAATAAGCAATCAGTTGGGTTATTGTGTGCACTTGGACAACAATAAGTTTTAATTCATTTTTTACTATATTAGGATGAATTGCGTGTATAAAGTACCCTACTAATTTTATGATCAGTGTTAAAGCCATCAGTAAAGTATTCCCTAATAAGGGATAGATGTCGACTAGACCAATGCATTCGAGTTTCCTCATTCAAGATTTTGGATAAATACTAGCATAATTTCCTTTTGAAAGAATATAGCGAGTATGTAAATCTTTATCCAACTAGTGGCAATCAGTAAAGCCTATGATATATTACAGACTGATGTTACATCAACAAATCAACTGCTAGCAGTAAATTAAGTTGGTCAAGTTAATGTCTTATTTCCTCTCTATTATTATGATTAATTATGTAGCACTAATAAAAGAAATATCAAGGTTATGCCAGATTGAATGGGAGGTCACTACATTATTATTTAATATTTCAATATTGAAATCTTCGTTGGCTGCTTAGCAAAATATTCGTTAACATATGAAAGCAGAATATTGCAGGACAATAAGATTGATAATTATACTATATTATCAAAGTTTCGTTTCCTGAGTCTATAATGCTTGATTGTTAGATGGTCGTATTTGTGGCAAAAATATTAATATAGCTATATTTATTAAATATATTAAATGATACCGATTTTATTATATTTGCGCTATTCTTGTTTGTTTGAAGATCGATACTGAATTATGGCTTAACTATTGCATCAATAGAAGAAGTTGATAGCTATACTTAAATTTATCATTACAATATTTATTATATTGCAATGAACTTTCGCTGCGTTTTGTTAGGACTTAGATGATATATTAAAACCCATAATACATAGATATGGATGAAAATTATGTCCTTTACAGTATCTGGAAATCTTTGCATAAATTTGATTTCGTAACTAGTGCTAACGAAAAGACTGCAAAGAAGTTCATTAAAATAAATATGTTAAAATTTGTTCTTGATATACCTTAGACTTACCAGCAATAGCTAAATGCTGTTTCATGATTAGTCATGAATCACTGCATAAGTAATTTTCAATAAGTTTAGACCTATACGGTTAGCCAAATTTAGATAATTAAATCTAATTGAAATCTTATCTAATCTGTCTGCAAATTTTTATTAATAATTTTCTTTTATTATACTTGTATTACGGACAAGCATTTTATTTTAAAAATGCAGCACAGACGTTGGTCAATTTAAAATGATAAAATTATTCGATAGCAGAGTCCTTTATGATTAGTGTATTTATAATTTTGACTGCACTGTCATAAATATAATCTAATTATACTAGACATGCTTATTACTTTAAATGGATATCTTTCTAATTATTGATGAAATCTTATTTAAGAGCTTAATGTCAACTTTTTTTTAAATTACTTTCAACAACAAATGTCTAATATGAAATTTTTTCTTTTGTTAGCTATAATTTTTGTCTTCCATGCAAATGTTGGCCATTACCTGAATATCTGAAATTTTTAACGTCACTCTTTGAATAAAGAACCTATTTAAAATTCTGTACGACTCTATAAATACCGTGATTGCTTCTCCTATCTCTAAACTAACTTGTCAAAGGTAAAATCCAAAGATCTTGTTGTCCATTCTAGAAGAAAGAAAAACGTACATATCTCGCGGCAAGTAAATTAAGATAAGATTAGCATTGAAAGTTACCACATAAATTATATTATCTATCATAATATTTCGTTATTTGCAGCATTGGTACTGATAATATCGAAGACAAGTAAATAATTTTATGCAATATAGTAGCATCTTTATGAGCAGTACTAGCTATGGTGATATTTCAATACAGTACTGTACAGATGAAATATTTTTATGTCTACTTAGCTATCGCAACTTTGAATTCCTTACAATAGTCATGAAAAACCAAGTTGTCTTCCTCTGGGCTGTCGTATTCCTGGCTTGCTGTATGATATCAATTCAAGCAGCTAAACATAGTACCAATGATGAGTACATGAAGGATATCGATCATCTCCAATACAATCATTTAGTGCATAAATGGGCAGGTTTAAAAGCAAAAAATCACCCTAGTCGCCATAATCATTTAGCGTTTGCAGAAGCTGACAAAACAGAAAAATACTATGCAAGAAGTAATGATAAATATCGTCGGGTAAGATTAACATCAAACACAGTAAAGATGTTAGCCTAGATTACTCCATCATAATCTGCAGTAGCAGTCTTCATAACTGGTAAATTATATTTATGGAATGCATCTCTTGTTGATACTATAATTTTATTAGCTATAGCTTCCCCTCATAGAATCCCACAAGGGACTTATGTTGAGAGTTTCTTGCATGCGCAAATTGCCATACTTGTATATCTATAATTTATTAATATACCGAAATTTTATGATATAGTGCATGTATGGGACATATAAACACCATACTTCGCTATTAATCATCCTATATTTAATAATAAGCTCTTCCGATATTCGAATCCTGTATTAAAGAACATGATAAAAATTATCTTGTAATTTTCTATAAATTAGAATTACGTAATAAATCAATATATTTAATCTCTTCTAATATTAATCACCTGTGAAAATTTCCTTTTCAGTGCTATTATCAGGGAGCATGTAACAGCCAAAGTAACCATTGCTGCATTGCCTGTGATGTCACTGTTGGTCAATGCTTAGCATCTCCACCAGATGTCGATCCATTTCCATAAGAGAATCTACGTCAATATTAGCTGATTATAGTCAGAAATACGCCCATTCATACAATCAAATAGCGATTAATATTATGGATACTCCTAAATTACCCTTCCCTTCTATTCTATCTTGAGAATTTATTCTATAAAATTCATCAAATTTGATCATAATGCTTGACCAGGAAAATTATGAAATATTCAGCAATAACGGTATTCTTAACGTATTCTCTATACATGATATTGTAGAAAAGTTGTAACTATTACAAATTTCTACGACAATAATTGTTAAATCTTGGATAGAATTTACAGTAACCATATATCTAGATACTCTTAATCGAATATAATAATTAGAGTATGATAATAACGACAGTATAATGAAGGATCTCCGCAATATATTATTCAGTTGATGCTTTTTCCGCCGATTATTTTCAGTGTAATATATCTGCTGAAATACAGTTACTGCAAATCATTATGCAATGTAACTTAATGCAAACTAAACATCATGCCGAAACAGAAATCTTGTCGGATTATAATTTTGAATTTATACTGATCAATATTTTATAGATTTAACTTGCTAATATAATATTACGTAGGTGATAACGAAAAAAAGTGAGGCGATGTAGTGGCAATAATAATTGAATAAACTTCTGCAACTTTGCAATTCAACATGTTGTGGGAATGAACATTGTGTTATAACAGAGAACAAAGGATTTTAATTCTATCAAAAGTATTTTACTGTTTAATAATGATTTACGACTAGGCGACTGTTATAGTTAATAATCAGTACCATAATTTATTGCATAAATCGAAGAAGCTTTACAGCTCATCAGTACCTTAGTGTCTCGTTCTTTATATTTGTCTCAGAGTTAAAAGTTAGCTAAATCGCCTGATTTTACCTCTAAAGAGATCAAACTTTTAATTCAACTGGATGTATATGCGAGAATTGGTTATTTTCTTCTTGTAACTTAATGAAACACTTATGCATGCAATAGATCACACTACCGTTCACTAGCAAAGATTCATATTGCTGCAATGGGATTGAAATATTTAACTTTTTTCTAAAAAATTTGGGATATCATTATCGTAGTAATTCTATTCTTTCCTACATAATGCTGATTTAATCATCACCAACTGTGGTCATAATAATATACAAAAGTTATATGCAGACGTTTATTTCCGAATTTGCTTGCTATGAAACTAAACTCGTGCAATAGCTAAAAAAATAAACTTTAAATCTATGCCATAAATCTTATGTAAGCCAATGGTAAATAAGCGTGTAATATGATCGCAATCGCCTACCAACATAAAAATAACATGCCTATTGCAATGAAAATGTAAATAAAAGAGGTCGATAGTATAATAATAACATGCCTACAGTGTTTACAACTTGAAAATATCTTAAGATTACTTCTATCAGCTTAGCGGATAGAAAATATTTCGAAATATGAAGCCATTAATTAGTAAAGTGGATATTCAAGACAGCAATAGAAAGCCTGATGTCGAAATAATTCAGTCTACGTCTTTAATTATTCAGCAACACGAGCATCACAAAGTGAAATAAGTTTAAGCTAAAGCTGTCATGAAGAGAGAGAAACTAATCGATGTCATCTTCCAATATGTTTATTAGCCGTCAATATTTTTCAACATAAGTATAAAATTTTTATGGCCTTTGCTTTATCGAAAATAAATAAACGAGAAAATTATTTTAATTAACGGTTACATTAATAATTAATTATCTAATTTAGCTTCAAGAAATTGGTTGACATTAAGCTGTCTAAATTCATCATGATAAATTTCCTAATCATCACGCATGAGAACAAAAATATTTTGGATAGTCTAGACATCAGAATACAGCATTATGATTTGATAAAATTGACTACTAAAAAAACTACACCAGCCTAGTTGATCACATTTACATTTCTAATTCAATTACATATTAGCTCCAAAGAGGCATTTGAAATTGTTCAAAATACCGCAATGTATGTAGAATAGCTATCTAGACTGCGACTCATTAGGGGAAATTTCAGTTTGTATTTCAGTTTTAGGAAGTCCATTTCATTTGTAATTCGATAATCCTAACCCCTAGATGTAAGTAATCATATCTCCTTTAAGGTTATATATGATTTAATATTTGAATATTGTCGTTGTTAGCTATATAATATAATGCCAAATCATTTGATAAATAAAGGAAAAAATTTTCTAAATCTTGTAATATCGAACTCCACTTTAGCCGAAAACCTCGCTATGTTAGTCCACAAATGTATTTCAAATTTGATACAAGAAAATAATTCTCAAACATTGGCTACTAATATTTAATGACCTATGCGGTATTAGTAAATGATGAAATACTAATAACTAGAATGTTAGCATATGTCATTTCATAACACTGATGCTATTAACAATTCTCCCAGCTCTAATCAAGATATCTTCCTTTATTATTAAAATGAGGTGGAGTTAACTAGATTCGGAGTGACATTTTGTTAAAAATACGAAGATGTAGAGCTTTGTTATCGAAACTTCGATGCCAAAAGCCGCAGCACATAATTAATATACGCATGTATAATTATATATCAAAAATTCGATTTCAAAATATTCCTGGTTTGACTTAAAGCCCTCATTGAAACGGCTAAAGCTCCAGTTTCTTTCTTAGATTTATTATTATTTGGCCAATAACTACAAAGAAAACAGCTAAAATATATCATTAAGACTAGAAAAACTGGTATATACGGTATCACAATACAAATTCATGAAATAAATGTTATTGTAGAGATCTTACTCCAATTTGAAGTATTGCCCTTAGTGCTCTGCTCTTGGTAACAATTTCTCAGAATATATTAACGAAAAATCTCTCTTTTCTCTAAAGGAAAGGTTATTAATTTATTCTATTAGTTTATGGTGAATTCATGTCAATTTTCATCATTTTTTAACACATCGATTCTTTCTGCAACAGAGTAGGATACATTTGTAAGGATATACGAGCTTTAGTTCATAAATGAGTTTTACTTTGTTTTATTTGCATAGCCTATTTTTGTCTATATTTCGGTGTTGGTTCTTTTACAATTCAAATAAGATATGACAATAATGATACATCAATTATATATGCAGAAAAACTTATTATTCTATACTATTAATTCAAGGCGGATCTATTTCTGTTTACATATACTATTTTTAATAATTTATATCCGGTTTAAATCAAGGCAGCAATAATAAAGCACAACAATATTTCATAAAGGAAGGTTTATATCTTTATTCTGTGAGTCAAGGGTAAATCTGTTTCCATTTTGTCATATTTTATGTCTTGTTTTCAATTCAGTTTAACCGGCACTAATAGAAGTGTCTTAATTTAATTAAAAATTTGTGTTAGTACTCTATCTTATTTCTTTAACGTGGCTGTTACGTATCTATATTATCTTAAGATAGTTACTCCGAGAGTAACTGATAAAATTGATCTTTTTATTCATTAACCTGTGCTTATATATTCCCACCTATAACACAACATGCCATCATGATACGCGAACTTCGCTAGCTAAATTTTAGGGCTATGATGAAGGCTATGTTGTCACACAGTATAAATCTTACATAGCTATATTAAGAGTTATAGACGATTACATATTAATATTAAATTTTACATGCTCATCTAAGTTACTTTCTAATTGTAATTACTCAATCTCTACAATACTGTACATGTCAGTGGTCAAACTTCATTTATATTATTTTTAGTTATTTACCTAGCCATTCAATTTTTTCCTTAATGTCTATATTAACTCAAATATTCAATAAAACTACGTTGTAAAACTAGGTAACTAACTTCATGATATCAATTAGATATAGCTATAGACAGTTTGCTAAGTCGAAATTAAATTAGTACTATTTAAGAAAGAGCAATTCACGTTTAGTAATGTGTGTATTAATACCATAAATTAAAATGGATTCCCCAGTATATAGTCTGCTCTAATTCAGTAAGTCATGAATAATAAAAAATGAACAAACTTTAAAGCATTCGTCGTCAGCAATAAATCAAGTTGTCTTGAATTATATACACAATATTAGTAGACCAAACTGCACTTTACGATTTTATCGATTACATACGGAATTAAAACTCTATGCAATGATAGAATTTATGGCAAGGAAAATGTTTCGCAATCTCTCCTCTTGAGTAGCGTAGCCATGCTACAGCTTATAAATACAGTCGTGCAGGCTTCACCATATTCTCATTTAATTATGTAATATTCAGTATACAGAAATAGATAATTGTCGCAGCGTTTACAGTTAGTTGGCAACAACTATTTTGTCCACGAGTGTATATCTGAAAGTACAATATGCACCTGCAACATGCTTATAAAGACAATAATTTTACTAATTGCTAGATTTACCAAATGAAAACCACCATCAGTTATAATTCACCGTATTACAACTATACAAATGTGTATTTTTTTAAACCTGTTCCTTTATATCTCTATAATTAATAATGCAAGGAAAATATAATAATTATACGTGTCCTATAAGGTATAGCTTTCATGGGATTTCATTAGAATAATACAGATATACATCATATTACACTGATTTACTATAGAGCCCATATCAAATAGTGAAAACAGTAATAAATATTTAAGTTACTAGGGGTTAAATTAGAGTCTAATGTTGCTGAAAATTATATAACATTATATCTTATACACCATCAGATTTCTCATAGACAGTTGAATCTATTTCGTCATTAATATCGTGATGTAATAAACGTTATCAGAATTAAAATGAACTCTTTCAGTCTACAAACATTTTTAAAACTTTTTTTTGTAAATAGTTATTTCTATTGTAAAATTGGCTGCCTTATTTCCACTTACTAATTCCATACTATTATCATATTAACCAAGGACTAGATTAATAAATAATTAGCTTTACCTTAGACAATGACTTTAGAACTTTTAGACATTGTCAATAGGTCAATATAGACTATTTTCATAAATTTATCAGAATATCAACCTTAATGATAATGACTTTACTGAGCACATATCCGTTGATTATCTTCATGCCCTATTTCTAGAATGTTAAATTTTATTTAACGGTATAATAAACTTTCTTTCATAAGGAATTCATGGCATTGGTTTCCTAATAGTGTATTTTGGCATACAGCAATTGTTTATCCTTAATGACTACCATAATATGCTCATAATTGTATTGTTATCATTGTTTGTAAACAGACTTTATTAAAATGCATTTAAGAACAAGCTATGAATTCATTGCGAAATAAGTTCAGCTCTACGTTATTTAAGGTACTGAAGTTGCAAATAATCAAATGCTCAGCCTTACAGAATTTAACTACCCGTAAATCATTGTCTTAGTAATTAATTAGGTGCCTCCATTTGTACTTTAAGAATTCATCTATTTGCCACCCGGCTATCTGTCTATAATTATATATTATAGACAAATGGAGCCATGAATTAAGTCTGAAATTAATTTTGTCTGTAGATGTTCTTTAGAATCGTAATTATGGAAAGGAAGTTATTAAAATTATCTTTATTAAGACCTTTTTAAGGCGAGTTAATCAATATAACTGTACTCGCAAGTAATTCACACATTAATTTACTTTCTATTTATTGTAACTTTTCATATATAATAACATAATAACGGATTTTTATTAAATAAAATATTACTGAAAAAGGCGACACTCAGTGTGGAAAAGGTATCAAGTACTATGAATCTAGAGAGAGCTTATCGAATTGAAGATTATAAAATTTGAGTTATACATCACTGTAACAAAATTTAAATCCAAAGAAAATGTTAGTGGATAGTAATAGCTTGGTCACAATTTATAGGGAGACTGTTGTTTCGCGGAGGATAAGAACTAGCTATTAATAGAAGATCTCGCTTTATATACAACTGGCAAACATCATCTGTCATCTTACAAGTTAATAAAGCTTCCTAACTAATACAGTAGGAGCTTCTCTAACACCATAGTTCCTTATATTATTGTCTATCTTTCCGAATACGGCATAGATAACAACTGATTACATTTTTCATATACTTTTAGTCGACAACACTATTATAATCATCATAATAAATAAGATATCTCTACTAATTTAGGATTTCCTATATTAACGTAAACAGCTCTTTAAGTTAGTTAATCTCGCTAACGTTACAAACACTTACATGTAAACAGAAATGGTATTTGAATTAGTCAATAATGGTATTGCTAAGTTGATCTATATTCATCAACCAGCAGCCATTTCTTCCCTCCAAATGATGATATTAAAATGCTACAATACTGGAGGTACTTTAGTATCGGAGAAAATAAGAATTACTGTATGATTATAATTATAACACTGTATAGCAGTTATAGACAGATATTATTAACATCATATTATTGCATGCATGTATCGTCATCATTATTGTCTGTTTTCTTTAGAAAAGAGACATTTTATTCCCACAAGTATTCCCCATAATTTATATCGGTGATTGAAGCCGCTACAGATAGGCGAAATACTTATAATGGCAAATTGCAAGTAATGAAATAAAACTAAGTCATTCCTATTTCTCTCATACTACTACTCCTCACTAATCATTATCGTTGTATTCGTTTTCTATAGGCAAATGTATTTTAACTATTCTTTACAGTCATAAATGAAGCATTTACTCATCTGACGACTCTAACCTTATTTGTACCAACAGCATTACTAAATACGTGTATTTAGTATCTTATGTGTTTCATATTTCAAGAATTAAGTCAGAATTTAGGTTATACATCTTACTTTTGAAAAGAAGCTGATATACGTTTACGATGGATAGTGCTCATCATTAAAGCAAAACTAATATTTTCTTAACCCATTTGTATAGTGTAGTTCTATATATTGCAACACGCATGAGTAAGATATTGTTATAAATTGTAATCGAAGTATCTATTTATTCAATTTATACTCAGTAGATTGACATCCATGAGTAATACTAATTACACGTGGTACTTCCCGAAAACAAAATTCCAAATCGAATAATTTATGATTTCCAATTTCATGGAAAGCCACATTTTTAGCACATCTATCAATAACTCAAGATGACCTCTAGAAGCGATATTATTGTGACAAATCACAGTAGCTCGTAAAAATAGAATTACGAAATATCTCAAGAGTTGGATATTAGCTAGATTTGTAGTACCGGTATTTCAAGTTAATTCAGATGTCAAGTTCAATGAATAGATTGGAGATTAACATCGGAATCGAATAATTAGTAATTTCTCCTTATACATATACGTACATGCTGGCATATCGGCTTATAGTATCAGCTATGAATAGATAATATTATTCTTGATATTTTTTTCAATGCATTCTAACAGGAAATCTATAATTACCAGTATTTAAGTCGTGATAAATTCTATAACTATAAATAGAGTTTAGAACAAATATAGTAGAACTAATGCAGATCTAAAACTGACGTTAATAAATAGTAAATTCAAGTCTACATAAGTATCACTACATAAAATGAATAACTGTAATTTAATGCTGACGTTGATTTACTAGTGTTTAAATCAGTCTTAGTCTCACAATTATTATTATTTGCCTAATGCATTAGATTGTTTTTCCCATAACCTTGGTATTCTTTACCGAATTACTCATGTTTGGAAATAAATAACAAAACAAACAGGTGAGAACTAAACATCTTACTTCATATAATCAATATATTTTCTATTCCTGTAGTAATTACTGATTACGGTAAATAATAAATTATTATGCTGCTGCTACAACACGTCTTTTGAGAAAAATACCGTCATAAGAATTACTATTTCATTTCAATTCAAAAGGCATTGATTTTTAGATAAAAAGATTCTGTTCCTGTTGCATCATCCATGTTATCATTGTTTCAACTCTTTTGCAAGATACTACAGGCACCAAGGTTTAACAATAAAATGCTAAAAGTGAGTAATAGGTGGGAAGAGGTAGCTCATAATGCTATTGATAGTGGCTATGAGATAGTCCATTCCAATTCCATGGACATATATGGCAAATTTGAAGAGAAAATTTATCAATATATGACCTCGTCTTGGTATTATCTTAAGTTTGGATTAGCTAGCATTGAATGAGAGTAATACGTATGCGATATGTATTAATAGCAACACTGTTTCTTTTTCTCGTAATCGATAAAGGAATTAATCTTTATAGTAATACGCATTTAGATTAGTACTTTTACGGTTGTCCTTGTATAATTATGATAGTCATAGATAAAGGTACTTCTGGATATTGTTACCTGTGATAATTAGCCATAGTCGACAGTAAATGGTAAACTAATTTTAACAACACATTATGCCTGACCGGTATTATGATGAATTTACTCCTAGATAATCAAATGAATTCCTTCCGAATTATCCCACGCTATCATGGTATTGTCTTTCCAACTTTAAAATAAGATATAAGGGCTTACTTTTGTGCCAGTTATGACAATTTAAAAATCTTTATTCAACGGTATAATCCAAATTTCTCCACCAGTCTGACTTTATTTAGTCTTTGAACTTTTCCTATTTGACAAACTAACTAAATTAGCAGGTAGTAAAATGTCACACAAAATTTGTCTCCATTTGTCCATCTTAGCCGCCTTGGCTATCATCTGTCAAGCTAGATTGATTCAACGAAATGATGACTTTGATATACATGAAAGAGATGAATTATCACCGGAAAAAAGTGCAATGAAAAATCTCCCATGGCAAAATATTCGTCACGACGTTGATGATGATAAAGAATATATGGCATTAAAAAGTAAACGCGATGCCTACGAAAAAGGACAAGAGATATTATCCAATACTGACTTAACTCAGCCTATCCATGTAAATCCTTTGAAAGATTATTTATACCGAGCTGACGATAAAAGCAACCAAAAAATTCTCTATGTAAGTTTGTTGAGTTGATTATTTGCTGTAAAGCGTTGTATAGTATCCATAGATAACACTACGCGAAGAGTCTCAGTTGTTTCATTCTCATACTAATCAAACATGGTTAGCAATGCTTACATTGTTGCTTTTGCATCATTAGATGATTTAATAGATTATTGATCTGTTTAGACTGTAGTCTAAGCGGATAGTCCGTAGAGCTTTAATATATTTCCTATCCTATTACTGAATTAGCTATATATGCAACTTTGTGTTACTTGTTTACGAATTTATAGCAATTCTCTGCAACCAACCGTAGTCAAGGATATATAAACTAAGCAACTCCAATAGTTTACATTTCTTTAAAAGAAATACAACCACATCAAAGTTACAATTATATATTGTTATTTGCGTAAAATTTATAAGTTTAAAAGTTACCTGTTAAAGTAACTGTCATCAAAAGTTTACAAGATGTAGACTGTATGTATATAAAGTATTAATGGTACATATTATTCGACAGCCGTAACTACTTCCACAATATCGTTCATAAATACTGTATTAAGATCAATACGTATATTTTCTATTCCGCTATTCCGGTCTAATTGGAATATATTTTGCATCTTGATTTTTTCCTTTATGCTGGACTTTACCTTTGATAACCCATTACAATGTTTGGATCGATGAATGCCTCATAGTGCAAATATGATGGCTTATGTACATCTGACGTGCAATGTTGCACTAAGAAATGTATTTCTGTTGGCAATAATAGCAAAGAATGTGTTGGAATTAGTGGAGCATTAATATTCTTTAAATAAGGTATGCTTTGTGGTCGATATAGGACAGCTTGATTAACAATTACAATTGCAGTTCTATTGTTCATAACATCTATCTGCTTAGACAAGATAGTTAACATTGTCTATTTATTTATTTATTTATAAAGCTTAATTTTGAGCTAAAATAGATAATTATATCTATTATTCAACAAACTAATAGTAGGCATCCTTTTACAGAAATTATTTATTTAGCAACATATTGTTGAAATGCTTTTCTTACTCATCGCACTAGCGGTCTACAAATTTTCTACTAAAGTTGAGAATACATGATTACTATAGTTTGCTGAATCTATTTTATATGCTTTACACGGTCTTTCATTTATTGCGAATTAAAAAACTAAGCAAATTGTGTACTTCCTGTACGTACAAATACCAACGATGGATTAATATTCCTCTATGGATAGATTAAAAGCATGGCATGGTAGAGTTGCAATAGATGAAAAATATATACGTTTTCATATGGCTCTTACTATTTTCTATAATGAAGCTTGCTATTATAGCCTTCTTACTATGCAAACAATATATTAAAACCCTTTATCTTCAGTAAAAGGTATTAAATCATATTGTCTACTTAAGAATATTTAGAATATTGATTAATTACTATGTGAATAGGAATGTTAAAATTAGTTTGATTTCACGGCATTATTTGGTAAATTTTTATAACCAGTTTAAGGGCCTAGATACATCTATCACTTTTAGACTATGTTTTGGTCAAAGATATTGAGTTATCACCTCCTACAGTCTCTACTAATGGAGATATTATACTATAAATTTTATTTGATACCATAGCACACCTCTGATAGAATCCGATTTATAGTCTAGTTGCCGCGTCTATATTCCTCTCTATCAATAGATCAGCTGCAATGATTCCATCAACTTGAGAATTATGTTACACTTTTAATAATTTACTGATAGCCTCAGCACCATCTTTTATACGATTAAATTAATAAATAATTAAGTACTAGTACTCCATTTATCATCCAATATTGTAGGCTACAGCATTTTCTAATTATATGTTGATGATTACTTTTACGGTATTACATAGCTATACATTGATATTGCTATCCAATTCGTTTCAGTAGTCTATTAACTCAGATAAGGAAGATAATCGAAAATTATTTTGATTTTCATCTATCTGCAGAGTGATTGAAATATTTATCTAATGTTAAAAAAAGTACATAACCATGACTATATCTCTTATCGACCTTGTCATGCTAATAATATTATTTCATATTTTATTTCTACAGGAATTATTCAAAGCATAGCCGATTACCAAGCTCAGTTAGAATTACCACTGAAAACGATAAGATCTTTAAAGTTTTGCGCCGTAGAAAAATTTTAGAAATTAAGATAGTTGTAATTGAAAAATAGGTAAAAACAAATTACACGAATTAAACCACGTTAGTTTTACGAATTGTTCCAACTTTGTGTAAGTGTATCTGTACTAGTTATTGCGCAAATGAATAAAAATAACTTATAAAATGAGAATTCTGTATAGTATGATCATCTATTGCGTATTTGGCATAATATACGAGTGTTACTATCTTAATTCGAACCCCATTAATGCAACCTTTCTATGCTACTCTATATAAAATAAGATAGTAGAGAAGAACTGAGTATTCAAATTACCCTAAAAAGATGCCTTTACTATTAATAATTGGCGATAACAGTACTTTTTAATCAATATGGGAATTAATGAGTACTAGAGAAGAGTCCTATATTTTAATTACTATGTATGCAGTTATTGTGTTTACAAGTCCATTAAATGTCATACAACTAGCAAATAGTTAAACGGTGATAGATCCATAGTTGAAAGTGCTTAAAAAGGTATAGCTCATAGTATATAATTTGTATTTTTCTGTACTACCAATGATTTCGTCACTTTGGGCTCTAAGTAAGACGTAGACTTGCCATTTTCTGGCTTAAAATAGTATATTAATAATAAAAAATTAGTTATTAATTACAACACTAACGAAGAAATTGAGACTGTTCTTGTGTTTTCGGTGGTCAAATAGAGAGAGAGATTCGGGTTATTTAGTAATTTCGTGTAATATTTGGTAAATACTGTATTGTCCAAAACTTTTTCTGGAATATCTTAATCAATTTGCATAATGCAATCTACTTCTTCCTATGATCCTCTAGTATTCATTTTCTTAATTTAGTATTCCTACAATGCTTCTCGCCTTGTATCGATCGCAAACCTCATAAGCTGGAATTTTCTCTTTTTACGTAATCTTCGGCATCACGGTCCATTCAGGTCTAGCGCAGTCATCTTACTTATGATTACCGTGGAACTCTTTATAGAACCTATCTTATTACAATGTCACAAACTAATTAAGACTCGTCCACTTCTCACCTTATTACTTGTAAAAAGTAGATTAAATCTAAAATAATGAAATCATTACCTGTACTTATATTTATATCCTGACGCATACACTAAAATCTATACAGTAAATGACAGATATAAATTCAAATACAGTATTTGTCAGGAAATAGGCTTGTCGTGATGTTACCAATTAATTAAACCGATAGATCTCCAGTTATGCAACTAAGTACAGCCACTGCCAGTATATTTCAAAATAATTAAAATACTAATGCTCGATGAGAGATTTTCTTTAATTCATTTAGGTTGCAAAAGATGATCCTTTTATTTTATGCATTCCATATAATTAAAGCAGACTGTAAGATAAAGCTATATGGAGACAATATACCATTAATCATCATTAACAGCGGCTCGAGAGAGAAGTACTGTAAATTTCATTATGTAATGCTATATAAGTAATTATAATAACTGAAATAGAAAGGTTGAAGTTTTTGACTGTAAAGCGATCAAATCAAAGACTTCAACTAAAGTGATGATTTCCAAATCTTGAAGCACAGTTTGGCTATTTTAAAACCAAGTGTACCACTGAATAAAGCTGCATAGGTTATATGAGATAATTCTATCCTGTCCTTTCTAAAAAAAATTCTGCATCTTTATCGTAATATCTTATAGCGTGATATGTTTATCCAAGCAGAAAATCAAGATGCCTAGAATAGTGAAGATATAACAGCAATCGAGATCTTCTTTTCTATTAGAATAATCATTTTCATTTGACCATGATCACTATTTTATATAATTGATAGGTTTGACTAGGCATAAGGTTTATCGCGTCTTGACTTAGAAAATTTATCGAGTAAATTCATAGTTATTGACTTATCTAAGATAGTTCTATAAGCCTACTTTTATATTATTAAAGAGTACAATCCAATACAGATATTGCTAATCAATTCAGTAATAATACACTTAACTATATCTTTAATATTTGGAAATGAATACCCCTAAAAATTCTATATTTGTGTCACAACCCTCACTTGTGGCAAAGGAAAGTAAAGAACTCTAGTGTAGTTACTTAAAACTTCGGCTATTTCTCCCAGTACTTTCAGTTTCTATGAGAGACGTATTTGAGAACTCGATTTCTCGGCTGATCTCCACAGACAACTGACTAATTATTACACTATTCTTCACGATATGAGTCTTGCCGTTTCTTGAGCAATTACTTACTTTATTCTACAAACACACGCGCTTAAATAGGCTTCTACAGTGAATTCCAATATTAACGAGTGAGAATTCATGCTTTACAAGTTACATTAATTAGTATAATACCATTACTAAATATACATGTCGATATTCTCAGACTTAGATAGCTACAAGCTATCAGGTGTTAAGACGCTTAACCTTCGTCCATATACAGCTCAATTTTTTAGAGATTAACACACCTTACAAACCTACAGTAAACTAACTGTTAACAACTTCTATTTTTATCTCATTTCTACCATCCTATTATCAGCTACAAGCGCATTAAACATAGCACATAACCTTATCTTATCTATTCATAAGCATTCATTAAACAACAGTTACTTAATTAGTAACGGAGTACCGTGACAATTTGAAAGAATTTACTTCCAAGTAAACGATTAAATTATAGTTAAATATCACAAGTTAAAGTGCGTGGAACTTATTTCAGTTGCACAATATACTCGCAGTCGGGTCGTCTATGAAGATCAACCTGACCCTTATTTTCATTTTTAGTTAATCAACATCGAACTGAAGACATGGCAGTAAATATACATTATAACTTTGTGAATTAGCCGAACTACGGAAGGTAAGAACTGCATTATTATTTTGGCTTTAATGTATTCACAAGTTATTTCTGTAAATTTCCTCAACATTTCACAAAAGCATTAATCACATTTGGTAAAGATGTTCATGTAAATCTTATAGATACCAGCAGATTTTTTCCAGATCACCACATACCTATCGGATAAGGAATTCGTTAATTTATCTTTAGTATACGGATGATAGCAATCGTTTGTGCTGAATCAGTAGTTATTACGTTAATTAGGTAAATGTAGAATATGATATCTTGTACTGTGTCAGCAGAAGCAGTCTGCACTTAGCAAATTAAAATTCGAAGCTTATAGGATGGATTAAAAATCCACAAGATTGTTAATATTAACAACTTCTACTGCCACAATTGTATACTCATAAATATAACGAATATTGAGGTATCTAGGAATTAATTTTGGATATTATTAGGTACTTTAATAGCAAAGATAGAAATTGAAAATCAAAACAATATTTAATAACTGGTATCGTAGACCTTAGTTTTCGCTAATTTATCATATTAATACTTAAATAGTAGCGTACCTGCCAAAATCCTCCATCTCACTGTCTGAACAGAAGACTTTATAACGTCCACGTTCGAAAACGGTATCATGATTTGTATTGCATACACAACCTAATTCATCTAAAGTTATTTCGATAGCATTCAATCCAGAATCGAGGGCATCGGCATAAGCTGCAGCAAGAACTATGAAGTAAATAAAATTGTGAATACAGAATCGGTCAGAAATGGATAGAAAATTGCTACACAAATATATATACATATTTATCTATCATTCAAGGATCGCTAAAGCCTATAACTTTTATAAATTTTATCCTATAAGAATACTCAGAGAATTACGGTTATCTCATCGTAAAACAATTATATCTCAAAAAATATTACGTAATTAATTATATTCTATACGCAAAAGTGATTACTAGCATAATAATAAAGCTACAATATGACTAGTAGACTATTAAATTCCTCTAGCACTACAGAAACACACACTGCTATCATGATGGAGATCTACAGTAATTAGAAATCAGCAACGTGGTCTAAAATTATTAGCGTTATATTAAGTTGATGAATACTATTGACCAACATGTATTCAAATTACGATGATTTATATATGTTATCTAGTATGAAAGAAATGCTCGAATTACTTTTGCAAATACGCTAATTTAAAAACTTGTTCTATTATCATATTTGAGATATACTCTCATAGAAAATCATCAAAACGATTCAAAATTAATGCTTTGATAATTTAAATGAGCGTTGAAATTTGCGTATACTTTAAAAGTATTTGTGAATTACAGTATACTCAATATTATTTACAGTTTATAGAATAAATATTTAAGATCTCCTCTAGTTAATAAAATCTACTCTGTTAACACCATAACATGCATCAATTTAGAGGTCATTCAGTATGATCTAAAATACTGGCATAGTATTAATTAATATAGAAATTTGTTTACAGAAATCTTTATTCACTGGGATGTATTCGATTAATTATCTTATGGGAGTAATAATATTCGTGCTACTCTTTTAAGCAATAGAAATTCTTGCGCTATTATCAAGGTCGAGATTACTCTATTTAGAAAGAGTAAAGACAGTCTCAACATCAAGAATACGAATATTTACAAGTATTGCATTTAAATTAACACAGAAATTTTGCTAATAAAAAATACTTACCGATTACGAAAGATTTTATATTATTCTAAAATAAGATAAATATTTGACGTCCATTATTATTATTCAGATCGTAGCTATTTCTTAATGCTTTCATCATGATCAAGATATCTTGTTTGAAAATTATTGACATGATCTAAGTCTGTTGACATTACATTAATACGAAAGTTTGTTTATAAAAGTTTCTCATGAACTACAAGAGGTTCGATAGTATCTTGTTGGGAGAAAATTGAAACTACTCGCTTAGGAATAGACATTTGTGCAATGATCTTAGTCAATATTTACTCCAACTGAAAAACATTATACAGTCTAAACATCAAGAATGTCTATGATTATTTGATATTAATATTAACATCAAAATTTCGTTTTTAAAAGTGTTCATTTACTACAAAAGACTCTATATTATCCTAATAAGACAATAATTCGACACATTTCTTTAGATAATAGAGTCGTATATTGTTGCAATTGTCATTATGATGGAGGTTTTACTGAAATAGAGTCTAAATTGAAAATTATGGAGACGATCGAAATTGGTCG